AAGAAGCCAGAGGTTCCAGAAAGAGAGAATGGCCCACGTAGTGAAAGGCCACCCATGTTAGCAAGGTTGGGGTAGAGAATTATCCTTGGTACTCCAGGCACTCACCAGGAGAACGGGGTTGGGGCTGTGGTGGGTGGGGTTGTGGGGGGTTGTCAGGGAGTCTAAGAGCCTGATGGTGCTCTCAAGAAAGGAGCAATGTGGCAGAGATGCAAATGTAGCTTTAAGTGAGCTGGTATTATTCTCATCTCAGGCTTCAGTGAGGGTACTTCTTTTATTTTATTTCACAATTTACATATATGTTAAATGCATGATTTATATAAACCAAATATTGCACCATAAAATGTGTCTTTAGAGAYTGAGATGGAGGGAGCAAAGAAAGCCAGTGAGACAATGTTTTCTTTAAGGCATATTCTATAAAAGGGAACAGAAAATCCACATGGGGTATGTGGAGCTAGGGAGCAATTTTTGCAAAATGTAATACATTTCAGTTCATTTGTATGCCAATAATTTTCTTAACATCATCTCTTTTACATGCAGGTCCTGTGCCCTGTTAACATATACAGAGGGGACAATAAGGACAATGCTGAGGAGACAGAGGAAGGGAGATAATGCTCATAAAACCCTCAAAATATTTTTTTCCTCAATTTCAAAAAGCTAATTTCTAAAACAAAACAAAACAAAACAACTTGTGGTCAAAATAAAGGAAATAAATTTAATTAATTAGTTTTAAGTCTTGATGGATAAAGGTAAAGAAAAAGGAAGTCCTTTAAAGGATAAATATCTATTGATTGTGTCCTACAGTCCTTTAAGTTAGTCTGTGTATTACAGGAAAGAGGATGTGGATGGGCGTTCTCATGGAGTCCATCAGCCCTGGGGTCCATCAGCCAAAGCAAGGTCTTATGTGTTTAATTCTAGTCTGTCCATTCTTTTTCCTCCCCTTAATCTGAATCTTTGACTTTTAATGAAGTGTAAGACTGGGATTTCTGTTTCTCAAATAGAAACCCCCTTTCAAAAAAAAAAARGGACACAACAAGGACATTCATGCAGGTTAAATAGGTATCAATTTAAGGACAAAGTGATTGAATTACAATCCCTGGCCATGTATGTGAATTTTGATCCTTTTTCCCCCTTTCTTTCATACACATGATATTTCCCTGACATCTGTGCAATACAAATATATCTAGAAAGTGTGAAATGAAAAATCTGCTTCACTAAATATATAAAAGGGACTCCGAATGAAGTCTCCATGATAGCATCCGTCATCATGGGCACAGATGGCGAACTTTTCCAGCTCTCCCCTACACCCCCAATAATGGCTTAAGTTTCATTCTCTGAATACTCCTCAAAATATCACATGCACTAGATGGGTGCCTGGTAATAGAAGAGCTTGTCTGTATACATCCTTATTTTTCAATCTTCTGTGTGCATCAAGCTTCCAGCCAATAAATCAGGAAAAATGCAGTTTCTAAACAAATAATGTAAATAATGATTTTTAAAAATCACTTATGTCTATGGAAACCCAGATGATCAGAGAGTCTAGTTGTCTTTGTGAAATTTTGCCAATAAATAGTGGCATTATAGCCATCCTACACKGACTACTTGCCATGTTTCCTATAGTGTTCACATCTCAGAATACAACAGCTACTTACCAATACCCCCACACCCACACTTAATGGTATGGAATATATAAAATGAACAATAAGTTATTTTGTTTAAGAAAGCATTTACAAGGCTTTAAGACACAAATTCATGGTATGTAGGTTTCAAATGGTGGTCAGAAAGTGTGTGAGAATACATGTATATCCTCCACAGTCCTCAGAAAACAAGGTCTGTCTATCTCATACTTAATTTGGAAAAGTAATGCTAACAAATAAACCTCAGAAAGTAGACATGGTTGAGATAAATAGGAAGTTTGCAACTTTCAGGGCTCTGACTCCTGCCCTGGGTGGGGCAGGGTGGGGTGGATGGCAGTGTAATCCTGGAGTGTTTTATGAATGTGGAGGATGTTACAGAAGATTGGAGGGAGCTAAAGAAGCGGGGTAGGGCAAAGGAGAAACCAAAGAGAAACTGAAAAGGATAATAATTGGATGAATCACAGGAACACTTGCTGCAAGGGTAATGCAGCAAGGAAACACTCAATAGTGAGAATGAAAGGTGCTTTACTATAGATCTTGAAATCTTAATTATCAAAACCTAAAATTCTAAACATTTTGCACATTTTGGAAGTTGTACACTTTTCCACCAGTGCACTCTTCACTGAAAACATGAAATATTAAAAAACTCTTTTCTTTTATAGAGTAAATTTAGTGTTACAAATAAGAATTACTGTAGATGCCTATAGAGAATAATGCTGATAGAAGGCTTAAAGTGGTCATTAGATAGCCCACAGATGGACACACATGTTCTTAAGAATTTCCATGTATATTACAGAGTACATATATTGCAAACTTATCACTAACGTTTTCACTCTCTAATTGTCTCATGGAGTAAAGCAGCAAAAATAATCACATGGTGTTRGAAGTGACCCTTGGAATTGCCTGGTTCAAGTTTCTATTTCTAAGGAATAAACTAAATATCATAGAGTAAAAGTGACTTGAAGGAAAAAGACCACATAAAACAGTACATGCTTTAAAAAAAAATTCTGAAAGTCCATGAATATCAGATGTGCCTAGGATTACTTTACAGTGATAGGTAGGTATTGAACTTCTTGGTTCCCTAACAGTAACCTGTCCTGTTTTTTAGGGTGAAAAAGGAAGCAGGTTTTAGGGCAAGAAACAGAAGTGTCACTGTCTGTAAGTCATACCTGTTTAAGAAATCTGCCTGTCTGGATTCACAGTAAAACTGGACTGACCCAGGAATGATGGTTGTCTCTGCTCTAACTGCTGGATAATTTCAGAAGCATAATGTATGGTGGCTAAATGTGATTTGAGCACATACGGGTCAKCCAGTGGCCTTCCCTAGACCTGTCTCTCATCTGAGCAAGTTCTGGGTGGTAGAATCAAGACTTGGAGAGAAGGTAGACATCAGGGTGCTCAGTCCTTCTGTTTCAGTGCAGGTATGAGGAAAGAGTACTTGGGTCAAACAAGTTTCTTTTTAAAAAGTAAGTGCTCAGATAAATTTTGTCAAAATGGACAAACCAGATCATTCAAGTGGAAATAAATTACTCAAACATACATTTGAACTTACTCTCTATATGGTTTTGATTGTTTATTTGCTTGCTTATTTTAATTACTGAAGGGGAGGAGTCTCTCTCAGAGACAGTCTGATAGAAGAACTGGATTTGAGTCCTGGATCACCATTTCCCTTAAGCATCTTACATAACCTCTTCGATTCCCCCAGCTGACTCACGAAGCAAAGGATTCCCACCTACCTCCTGCCTATACAATTAGGAAGCATTTTTATGACCTGAAATCCATGGAATAAACATTTCTGAGAACATACCATGTACCAGGCAAAGTGCTAGGTGCTGAAAAGATGAGATGAATATAACAACATCCTTGTCCTGAAGAAGCCCAGACCATGTTTAAACAAGAAGGCTATGGCACATTTACAACTCCSGTAACTGCAATGTAATCAGTGTTACCTTAGCTGTATGAATGAATAGGCTATATAAAAACAGGAAAGGAAGTGGTTAATTATACCTTCCAAGGGCTGTTATTCCAGGATGTTATTTCAATTGTAACTTTTTAAAATATGAGTGCACAACTGTGGAAATTTGTGTGCTAAGCATGAATCAATGATCAAATACCTCAACCATTCCTAAATTGTAATAATTACTATAAGCACATGAAGTCACTTTGCTTGACTGTTTAGAACAATTATCGTTTCACTCATTTTTATAACAAGCAATAGTGCTAGCAAGTTTTATGAGCAACACCAAATTATATCAGAAAAGTATGCCTGATGCTATTGCTAATTACTGCCTAGGATGAAATGGCTATTTAAAGTCTTTCATTAGAAACAAACAAACAAAAATCAATCGTTGGAAATAAGCTAATTCCTGATTATCCAAGACAAGGTTGTAGTGAATAACTAAATCCACAAATGAGAAAAACCCGTTAACCAATTAATTCAACATTCTTTGCTCCCCAGCCCCCTACCAAATCATTGTGATAGTAGAAAAAGAAATGACCTGTTTGAGTTGTTGGCTAATTTCATCTGTAGGAAAAATGTAGATACAGGGATTTTTAAAACTCTGAGGTATAAAAATAAACCACACCTTCTACAATAAATTCTTGGCTTGCTTATATCGTTTGGGCTATGGTTATTTGCCTTTCCTGAACTGGGTAACTTTTCTTACCCTTCTATCATTTATCACAGAATGCTACAACTAGAAAGAACCTGAGAATCAGATAGTCCAACTTACTTTAGAGAGAACAAATGAGACAGAGGTTTGTCTCCTCATGATCACATCTGACTTTTCAATATTTGCTTTATTAATAGTCATCTCTGATGCAGAGGAGGTAAAGCTTAATCTTTTAACATACCTATCTTTAAAAGCCAGAAGTTTAAAAGGAATCAAGTCCAATGACATTATGTCAACAAATAATAACAGCTGCAGTCTCTCTATACTGATGCGTTGATAGGCTGTTCCAGCTCAGGATGTGGCCTCCCTATCAAGTCAATAATGTCACATTCTGAACAAACTTAGGCAATTTGCCTTCATGAAAAACTACCCCACACAAAAAGAGAACTGTCATCCTACAAAGCAGCCAACTACATTAGACTTGAATTTCATCGGAATATAGTTTAGTAAATGACATACTATAAAGCTCAATTTGCCTCTAGGTATAGGAATTAAAATAGTGCTTCATTTTTCCTATGCTACATTCCAGAGGGGGTAGCAAACAGAGGGAACAGGCAACAGGGAATCCTGTCACAATGTATTCCTCTACCAAACAGGCACACACATTCATACTAGGGTAGGCATGTGGACTCTAATCCCTTCTTAGTGGAAAACACACATTTTCAAAATGAATCCCCGATCTAGAATGAATTACCGTAATAGCCACAGCCGGAGCGAGTCCGCTGATGAGAAATGCCGATCTGGCCACCTGCTTTGAGACGCCTTGGACCACAACACTGCTGGGGTCTTTAAAGGCTGGCTTTTTCAGGTAGGGCATCCACCCTCTTACATCGCGTTTAAATTCCAGGAAAAGAGAGAAGATGCCTCCCTTAATTTTTGAACTATGCTGCTCTTCCTGTATTCATTTCTGCTGAACACAGCATTGTTATCTTTTCAAAGAAAGAAGAAAAACAACAAGGGGAGAATTGCACCACTGCAGATCCCAAGAGAAGTAAGCACAAAACTACAGCAACGTCAAATAATATCCGGCAACTAGGAAAATCCCCACATGCTATCTGGTGTCAGCCCAATGCAGAATGAGGCGCGCTGTGCCCGGAATCACAGGAAGTCAGGCATCTCTGCAGCCTGTGTCCCTGCCAGCTACCCCCACGCGCTGAAATTCGGCAGGGAAGAAGTTATGGTGCCCAGCCTCTGTGCAAGACAGAACACGCATCCACACTCCAAAAATCAGCCCACTGGCCGGGACATCTAAACAGCAGAGCAATCAGAAAGCCCTGGAGCGGGGAATGGAAGGGCCACTTTGTTGGAGCCTTCGAATTTTGCTGCATTGTCACGGCTGGGGAATTTATGGGTAGGAAGCGCACCTCCAGCCAAAAAGGACCGGACGAGGTTTTTCCCGGTACCTCCCTCCCCGCTTGTGTGCAGGTCGCAATACGGCAGGCGACATGACGGGCATCTCCCGCTCAAACTCAGGTGGCAGGCCCAGCTGAGAGTCACAGCCGGCTGGGGACGAGGAGGCGCTGGAGCAGCACCCACAACGCGCATCCTCCCCGCCTGCCACCACCCAGGGGAGCAAGGGCTGGACCTGGCCACGCTTCTCCTGAGCTAAGCACAGACGAGCTTATGCCGAGACTGTGGGCTCTCGCTGGGCTAACCACGGACATTGCGTGGGACACAATTGTCCAAAAGCGACTCCAAAGCGAAGCGCAAATCCTGGGCTTTGGTTCACAAGGGGTGGGTGTGGGCTGGGAAGGGGGATTACGTAGGTCTCTCCGCCCCCTCCCCTGACACCTCCTCGCCACTGGGAGGGCGCCGAGGGGCGGGGGAGGCGCTGCGAACCCGCTTGGGGGCTTCTTTGTTTCTTTCCGTGCCCCTCAGGAGGGCCGGGTGCGCCTGCTATACCCAAGCCCGGGTCGACACCCGGGCATCCCAGCCGTACCCGGACAGCTGCGCTCCCCAGGCTGACAATTGAACCTCGCGGGAGAAGCGAGAGGGTGGGAAGGAGGGTGGATCCCGGCCCCAGGGAGGGAGGGCGCTGCTGGGGCCTCGCGAGCTGCTAGGAAGACGCCCAGAGAAGGGCGGGGGGGGGGCAGGGGCGGAAGGCAGAGTCCCCGCAAGGCGCTCTCTTACCTTGGCAGTCCCGGACTGGGCACAGATCATGCTCCCGTCAGGGTGCAGGTTAGAGCCGGGGGGCGCACGTGCCCTGCATAGGCGCCAAACACCAGGCACCTGCTTTGGGGGACCCGGACGATTGCCAGCTCTCGCCGAGCTCTGGCTGCGGGCTGCCGGGAGCGAGCGGCTGTCACCGCCACMGCCACCGCGGAGCTACGCGAGCCGCTTGGTGAGTGCGTGCGAGAGGAGAGGGCCGTCTCGGTCAGAGGCGCACGGTGTTGCAGTTCCAACAACAGCGCCTGATGCGCGGCAACGCAGCACACTTCATCGCTTTATCCTCCCGCCTGCATCCCCKCCCTCCTTGCCTGCTCCTCTGTGGGTACCAGACTCCCGAACCAACCACAAGCCGGGCTTGCTCTCATTAGCGCTGCCCCGCCCTGCAGCCTCCACGTACCCCCCCTCCCCGCCCCCGCCGTAAATATATATTGATTCTTGTTACCGCCAGCCCCATCCTTCCAATATCCAGTTCGAGAACTGGGCATATCCAGGACCAACCACTGCTCATCAGCCCTTTTGTGTATGTGCGGTGTGTTCTGAAAAGATGCGGTACCGACACCTTAGGCAGGTACCCTGTGACAGGTGTTCTCGGCCTCTGTTTTACACACTTTCTTCACCCACCTTATACAGTTACGAACACTCATAGACACATTTCAGGACAGCATCTTGTATTTACACAGCAAGTACACAAAATAAACATTGTCATTACAAATGCAAAGGGTGAAAATTACCCCCAGAATATCTATTGTTGACAAATCTAGCTTTCAAAACAGGTTTTATATTCAACTGCACAGTGTCCCAATGCGAACTGTATAAGCCCCTCCTTATACAACGAATCCAGATGCAAAGATAAATGAAATGCTGGTTACTGTTGGTTGCTGTCTGCTTCATGTATGTAAATCTGCATGCATTTGGTTACTATTTGGCTTGTAGGTGTTGAAATAAAATTCAGAGGTTTTGAGCATATAATCCCCATAGTCTGTGATTTTTAATTGCATTATTCAAAGTCCTTCCTTATTTTTTCCCATTCTCCTGCCCAGCATCACCTAGGTGAGTCTTTTTTCACATCCTTAGAAGTTATTTTCTTCCCCATATCCTAAACCCAGACTCTTTCTAGAATAAACAAAGGGTGGACCCTGACTCCAAGACTCCTTACTGAAGACCTGAACACAGACCTCTCCAAACTAAGACTCCTTCCAGCTCCCACACACCTGATAGGTGGCTTCTCAATCTTTCTCCTATCATCACCTACCTTTTGGCCTTGATATCACTCTCACAACTGGAACTTTCCAGTCTCAGAGAACTTGGACTTGGTGATGGCAACCTCACTAGTTGTGTGTGCCCCTTCATGCAGTGAGTGAGTCCTTTCCCTTTCCAGAATTTCATTGGAGAAGATCAGTCCTTTGTGGACAGACCCTTCCCTTTGTCTGACAATAGTCAAATCTTCCAGTCCCATGAGCTCAAAGCTGATCACTTTTCAAACCTGAGTTAAGGATCCACACAGAATGCTGAGCACACATTTCTTCAGGAGATTTTACACTCGAATTAATATCCATTTCTATATGAAGAAACCCCTCTGAGAATAGACTTGGTTAGGTTGCAGCATCAACCAACTGTATTTTCAACCAGGCATTTGAAAGAAAAAAAATATTGCATAAACTAGCACCCATAGTTTTTAAATTAGCACAATGGCACCAAACCACAATAAAGAAACATTCTTCACTTCAACTAATTGCCAGGATGTTGTTCACTGCATTGTTTTCAGTGATGCAGCATCAACTTGGCTCAGAGAGATTCTCTCTGTGTTCTATATATCATGGAGATGACTTGACAAGTCAACAACTCTCATAAAAGTTATTGATGTAACAATCCTGAGGTGTGCTTTAYTTTCCCCTGGAGAGTTTTCTTTCTTTCTTTCTTTTTCCCTACTGAAGACAAAAGACATTAAACTAGAAGTACACAAAGTTTCACCTTTTAACATTTTGCATAAATAACTCCTTGCAAAGTCGTTCTACATGCCAGGTACATTGGCCATATATATATATATATATTCATACACATGCTCTTAACAGTTCCAGTTCAGTCTGGGAGACATCATTGTATTTCACAGAGGAACATAATAAATGGTTCTGGAGTTTTGTTAAGGTTTCATTTGTGAGAAGACCTCAGATCTGGAGGTAACTGATGTCAGCTGCTCTCATCTTAAAGAGTTTTTGTAAAAAAAAGGGAAAAGATTTTGCTTGAATTTTAAAGCCATCCATTTAGTAGTCATATGTATAAACCTAATATACTCAAAAAACTGTTATGAATACAACGAGTGAGAATTTCAATGCCCTCAATACTACTAATCTTAAGTAATGCCATAGGTGGTGAAGGCATTACAAGAAGCATATATGAATATCCGTATTATCATGATGCTGATGTAACCTGTGTGTCCACCTCTGTAATTCAGGACCCATGCAGGGGCTGGCCTTCCTGTTATGCCCAGACCACATGCAGTGAAAAATGAGCAGAGCCCCATCTGCAAGTGACTCCTACATTGCTGAGAAAACTATGACTTGAACTGATTGGAGGCTTCACCTTCAGGAGCAGAACTTCACCATAATATTGGAAGTGAAAGTCTTTTAACTGAGGGAGGAAAATGATGGAGCCGTTGAAGTTGTGCTCATGGTATAAAGTCTGCCATGGTCTCTTCCTGCATAACCAATTACAGCTGGCTCTGTAAGACCATTCTTTAGATATCTTAGGTCCAGAGGCTTAGAATAACAACTCAGAGGCCAGGGGGTCCAACTTTGGTCAGATGAGTAGGTGACATAGAGAAAAAAAGTCCTTCCTGTAATGACAGAGGAGATTTTAATTTTAAACCAGCACATGGCTACTGAGTGGCAGTGGCTCTCTTGGTAGCTATTAAAACCTTATAATAATTTTGTGTTGTGGCCTAGCAGAGGCTAAAGGTACATGAAAGATTATAGGGCTTTTCTCATGTAAATTTATTTATTTCTTCAACAAGTTTTAAATGTTCTAATTTCTGGGGAAATAACCTTGAAAAACAATCTCTGACTGTAGAGATTAGAGTTGAGGGTATATAAATCTCTAATCAAATAAACGTGCCCTATATATTGATTGAAGGAATGACAGGTGAAATAGAGAACCTGATTTCACACAGTACCCAGGCTGCAAACCTAGACCCAAGTTGGGAGCATGAGGGTGGGAGTCCAAGAGTAGACTTCCTGGTGCCTGAATTGAGACTTAAGGGTCAGTAGGAGTTGGCAGATGAAGGGAGCACAGGAAGAGTACTCAGATTAATGTGACAAGATGAGAAGAGAAAATTTCAAGAAAATTTCAGTACGATTCAAGTGTAAACAGTTGCATAGGTATGTGGTGGTATGGTTTTAATTTGCATTTTCCTAATGACTAATGATAGATCTACTGTTGTGCTTGTTTTCCATCTATATTATTTTTAGTAAAGATTCTGTTCAAAACTTTTGTTCATTTTTAAATGATTTTTTACTTTCATATTATTATTTTGAAGGAGTTCTTTGTATGTCCTAGATATAAAATATTTGTCATATATGTGATTTCTGAATATTTCCTCCCTGTCTATGGCTTGTCTTCATTCTTTCAGTTGTCTCTTTCACCAAGCAAATGTTTCTAAGTTTGATGGAGTTCAAATTATCAACTTTTTCTTTTAGGGATCACACTTTTGTTATCGAAGGACTATTCTGACTAACAAAAATTACAAAGAGTTCTACTTATGTTTTGTTTTATAAGTTTTATAGTTTCACATTTTACACTTAAGTCTTTGGTCCATTTTGAATTATTATCATTTTTTAGGTCTGATGTATGGGCCATGCTTTTTTATATTTGTTTTACTATTTATTTTTTTTGCATATGGATGTCCAGTTATTCTAGCACCATTATTCAAAAGTAACCATTCATGAATAAATTGCTTTCTCAACTTTTTGGCCATATTTGTAGGGTTTTGTTTCTGAATTATTTAATTTGAACTACTAAATTATGTGTCTTTTTTTTTTGCCAATACTACAATGTATTGATAGTATAGATTTATACCATCCTGAAATCTGTTCTTTCTCAAAATAATCTTGGCTATTTTCATCTTTTGTATGGTTTTAATTTGCACTTTCCTAATATAAACTTTAGAATGTTTGTCAATATCTACAAACATTTATACTAGAATTTTGATTGAGATTATATTAAATCTATAGATCAATTTTGGAAAAATTGACATTTTAACAATCTCCCAATTTCTTAAAATTTTACAACCAATAAACTTATTATATCTCTGCATTTATTTAAATTTTCTTTTACATTGTGAGTAGTTGAAGTTTTCAGCACATAGATTCAATGCACATTTTGTTAGATTCACACCTAAGAATTTCATTTTGAAGGGACTATTATAAAATACATTGATATAAACTTTGAAGTTTATTTCAAATTAAAATGTACTTGGATTCCCCCCTCCCCAGTATTGGGGATTAAACCCAGTAGTTCTCCATCACGGAGCTTCATCCCCAGCTCTTTTTATTTTTTATTTTGAGACAGGGTCTTGCTAAGTTGCCCAGGCTGACCTCAAACCTGTGTTCCTCCTGCCTCAGTCTCATGAGCAGTTGGCATTATAGGTGTGGGTCACTGTGTCCCATTTGGAATTTTCTTTAATCCGGTAAAGTCATACAGGCACATAGACCCAAAAATGATTGTCATCAAAGAAGAATTTCATAACTCAAAGATCCCTAGAAATACAGAGAAACAGCCAGGCCCTTCAGGATACAAAAGGGACCAGGGAAGAGCATGGCACAGAGTCTTTATTTTGTTTTCTGTGGGAAGAAATGGGTAAGTTAGGATAAGCAAATTTAAGCAAGTTTAGGATCTGATAGTTGAATCATTTCAGTGGCTCTGGGCCATAGGATATTCTCCAGTTGTTCATGCTTGGCCCTCGTTTGGCTTAGGCAGGAGAAACATTGGCTTGGTACATGAGCCTTAGATAAAAGGAGGTGACTGCAGGTCTGACTAGGGACTGGTTTGATTTGCACATAAAGACAGGGCTCATAGACAAGTTATTTGTAATTAACTAGGTCTAGGAGGGGCAGTGTCCCCCTACAGCTAACAGGGGCCCCATCATGTCAAAGCATCATAAAATACGGGAAAGAAGTAAGATTAATGACTTGTTCATTGCTAGGCTAGAAAAAAAAAATTGGTACATGTATGTGTTTATATCTTGTATCCTGTGCTTTGCTTAACTCATTTTAATATACAAAATTATGTTGCCTGTGAATAGAGAATCTTTACTTCTTGCTTTCTGAACTGTATGCCTTTTGTTTATCTGACCTCATCTAACTTGCTATCCTTTCATTTCTTGAACATATTTTTTATTTTGTTTATTAATTAAATAATTTATTATTGTGCTTCTAATTATGATAGGCAGGGTCACTGTGATTAACACTTATTCTTAAAGAGCATATAATCTTGTGATCAATTAAGTGTAATTACAATATCGTGTAGACACTGAGAGTTGGAGGTGTGTTGTCCATGTGACGGGAACAACCATGT